TTCTTGGCCCTGGACTGGTTGAAAGAGATGTGGGTGAGAGACGGTAGGGAGGTTCACTATGGCAGTGTTTATATTAATTTTTATTTTGCTCTCTTCCTTCCAGACTTGTCTGGCCCTGTCTGACTCTTTTCTATGGGTCCCAGCCAGAAGGTGCTTTAGGCTTGTGGCCGCTTTCAGGCCTTGCTTTGAGTCAATCCTTTTTGGGTGGACTTTTACCCATGAGGGGAGGGGTCACTTCGGGTGTTAGATTTAGAAACTCTATTCTTTGTCTCCTGTATTGCACACTCACTCTATTAAAGTTCCTTTCCATTAAAGCTCTTATGTCTTGTCTTGATGCTGTGGATGACAGAACAGGCTATGCTTTAACCCGCTGCGCCACCAGGGAGGGCCCCAAAATGTCCCCTTTTATAAGGAAAGCAGCCATGTTGGATTGAAGACCCACTCTACCCCCAGAAGCCAGTGTGGCGGGGGGGGTTGGATCATAACTCAACCTATAACACATCCAAGCAACCAAACAACTCATCAGCACTTTCCTGGGGTTAGACATGCCAGCTTAGTGGCATCTCCAGGAGGAGAAATGGACAGAACTTTGGATTCTAGGCATGTGTGGGAAAGCAGGGAGCATCTGGGGAACTGCAGGGTGAATTCTGGGCTGCTTAGAAGGGGCATAGAATAGAGTCATGGGGAAAGAGGCCAGAAAGGGAGCCAAGAGCCAAACCATGAAAGAACCACATCACAGTGTGAAGACAGCAAGAAGGGACAAGGACCCTCCCTGAGGTGCAGGGCACAGCAGTATGAGCCTCGCCTCAGTCACTGTGGCACGAGTTCGATCCCCGGCCAGGGAGATGACCCACAGGGTGCAGCAGACCTCTCCTGTAGGCAGTGTATTTCAGTAGATCCCCCTGTCTGCTCCCCGCTCTGTCTCTAGTGAATTCTCTCACTGCCCTCAGCGTCCCCCACCTCTGGCCTGCACCCCAGTTCTTGTGTGCATAAGTAAATCTTTTTTTAAAAAAAAAAACAAACTGCGAAGGCTTTTCGGCAGAACCCTCCATGCTGGAAAGTGCCCTGTGGGTGGGCGCGGAAATGGGGCCAGACTGAAAAGAGAGACCAGTCAGAGCATAAGGGGACTGGGGTATACTGACGCGGGGCAGACATGGGGGGCGGGGGGGGCTTGCAATGCTTGCTTAAAGCAGTGGAGGTGACACAGGTGTGAGTTAAGGGGTTGGGGCCGAGGCTGGGAGGAAGCTAAGAGCACCCAAAGCTGAGCAAGAACAAAAGACTCCTTTCTGGGAAGGGGAAAGGAGAGATTTAGACACACCTGAGGATTATGGCGTCTCCTCACCTGTCCTGCCTCTCTGGGCTTCCCGTTCTCCCAGCCCAAACTCATCCTCTCCCAGCGTCCGACCTTCGCTGCCATATTGTCCTTCTCCCTGAGAGAGCAGCGACGTGGTGAGACAAGCCGAGTGAAGTCAGGAATACCATTCCCCAAACTGACAAGACAGTCTACTGAAGAAGTATTACAGGGCAGGGAGAGGGGCACCCTGAACCCCAAACCTGCCGGCTATAAATAGGTTCTGCCATCCGCCAAATCAAGACAAAACATATAAGACCTTTAGTGGAAAGGAACTTTAATACAATGAGTGGGCAATGCAGAAAAGAATATAGTTTCTAAATCTAACACCCAAAGTGACCCGTCCCCTCGTGGGCAAAAGTCCACCCAAAAGGGATCGCCCAAAGCAAGGCCTGAAAGCTGCCACAAAACTAAA